CATCGCACTTAGGACCACCCCCTAACTTGGGGTTTAGCTGCTCATGTTCTTGGTAAACATAAAAGTAATTAGAATTAAAAAGGAGAAGATCATTACAATGCAAGTTGAAATCCTTGGATCATCAATTGCTTCCGCTTTTGATCGATCCTCTATTTCCAGCCGAACTCTCCTCTCAGTTGTCAATCCTAATATCAGTTCCAAAAATCTCCCCTACTTTCTAAAATGTGCCTCTTATATCTAAATTCAAATTACATCGCGAAATGTCTCAAATGCCCTTCAACATAGGTCTGACAACAAAAAATCAGAAAACAGAGAAATTTCACTTTCAGTGGCCCTGACACGGGCCGTGTTGTGCAACACGGGTGGCCGTGTCAGGCTGCTGAATTCTTCAGGGCGTGTTCCTCTCCAAGGGCTGCAACACGGGCCGTGTTGCATGACACAGACACCCGTGTTGCAAGTCTGAGTCTTCTTTTTTCTTCTGCTTTGGTCCACCCGTGTCTGCCAGCCGTGTCCTTCATGACACGGGCCGTGTTGTGCAACACGGGTACCCGTGTTGCAGCTCTGAGTTCCCTTTTTCGCCTTTTCTTTGCCTCCGAATGCGGTGCGATTGTCGTGTTATCCATTCCTGCCAATAAAACACTAAAAGAAACCAAATCAAACGCACCAGCGGCAAAAGCAACATAAACTTAAACATAAGACTCGAAGACACACAACTACGATTAATGCAGATAATAACAACTAAAGCTTCGAAAAATAGATAAAAACATTACGAAATTAACCACAAACAGCGTTTGAAAACACAACTGAAATCCACCGATCAAACTCCCCCGAACTTGAACTTTTGCTTGTCCTCAAGCAACAAGCTCACCAACCCGAACTTAATATCTTTTTTTTTCTTCATAACGGAACCGTCCATAGAATTGTGAGTTACGGTGATACTACTCATACTTGAACTTCTCATTCCAAGTCCCCTAGGATTAATCTCGGCTTTTCCCTCAAAACAGGTAACATGCAAACACTAGACTGCGGTAAACCACAGACCTCAGTCTCCCTATGGGTAACCTCTCCGACTATGCTTTGTACTTAAGTCTTCTTTTTCGATTTTCCTCCCTTTCATTCGGACAATCACTATGTGGCTTTTATGATTTTCCTCGTGTGCACAAGATTTATCAATGACATTTTTCTTTTTCTGGCACTGTTGTTCTTTTTGAATGGCTTTCAGGTTCGACCGCCGTTGGGCTGAATAACCGGGTGAGGGTTACCCAACTTAGAAGGATTAGTCGCCTAATTGCCCCTTTTTGTTTGTTTTTTTTTTCTCTGTGCCTTAACTCCATATTTTTCATTACCCTTGCACACACGATTATTTTTGATGGAGCCTGATTGTCAAAATAAACTACTCAGGGGTACTTCTCAGATCAAAGCACTATGGTACAAATCTACACGTCGAACTCGTTCCTATTTGGGAAACCCAGGGTGTTGGCCTTTTACCTATCTCTCAAGATTATCCCGATTTCATCCTCACGGTTCTTTTCTGAGTATTCTATATACTTTCTCATCACCTCACTCAACATCTTCACTAAACAGTTCCCCAACCAACAATTTTATTAATTTTATTAGCTCAATGTCAAGGGGGTCTTCCTGTGGATCGCTATCATGTTCTCAAACTAACACTGGAAATTAAATAAACAAATAACTGCAACAGAATTGAAAACACACAAATAACATAAAAACACAAATAAAATAAAACACAAATAAAATACCCCCACACTAGAATTCAACAGTGTCCTCACTGTTAGAACACTAGTAGCAGGGGACTCACAGAGTTCATGGTTGCGGAGGTTGGTCGCGCAACATCATCTGCCGCATCCATTCATGCATCTCACCGATCAACCTGCCTTGTCGGATTTGTTCGTTCCCTTGTCTTGTCTGCTCCTCGCCTTGCCTCGTCTGCTCACTTCGGAGATGACACATCTCATTCTCCATCCAATCCCATTCTTTTTTAGATAAGCTCCACGAGCCTGAGCCTGATTCCTGATGAGGTGAAAATCGAGTAGGCGGTATAGGCGCTTCTTCTACCTGATCGCCTTCATCCTCAAAGAATTATGCACCTGTACCATCATAAAATTGGTCTTCTTCATCCTGCAGGGGGCTCTCATATAGCCAGTTATTCACATTTTGAATACTAATAAAGTCAGGGGCAGGTAAAGCAAGGAGATGACTGTTCCGGCTTACCAAGGAGTAGTAATTATCAAAGACTCGAATCATACCTTGGGCAGTCAGTGTGGCAAGATTTCTTTTTGTCTTACCTGCAACAGTGGGTTCCTCTCTCAAGAGAGCACCGTGGCCAAAGTGATTCGCGATTTGAGTAATCATACCGCCTACACTTATTTCTCCTGAAGGTGCATTCGCAACCCTCTTCAGGTGATCAGCTGCAAAGGCAGCTACATTAATGAGCTCGTGATTGGCCATGCCGTACATGAAGTACAACTCCCTCTGAGTCGCCACCCATGTGCTGTCACCCCTGCCGAACAGTGTATATGCCAATCCCTTTTGAGCGTATCTGAAACAAGGGTTATGGATACAAGAGGCTTTTGCCGCTTTCGCGACATAATCAGTTCTGCCTGTAATAGCCTTCCAGAAGTCCCCTGCACTAAAATTTCCCGGAGGGGCTCCGGGACCAAAATTAGGGAGCTTCAGAATATCTCCCAATTCGGCTATGGTCAGGCTATGGTCAGTATCAAATAACCTAAACCTCAGTGTACCATAATATTCTTCCTCCACCCCCGTCCACCTGTGCTTCAACTGAAATTCTAAAGTGCTCAAGAATTCAATAGTTATGCGCTCATAAGTTGGCGCTTCTAATTGCATAAATTCTAACATCCCCGACAACGGCGCCAAAAACTTGATCGGGAAAATAGCAAGTGTACTATTTTTACCAATTGGAGTAATAAGGGAAAAGTCCCAAGTATCGATCTCGAGGACTGCGTAGTAATTAACGGAATTTTTAGGATTCAATTGAACAAAAGGTCTAGTGGTTTGTTTGGTATCAGAGTAATATAACAAGTAAATACGGACTTAATTAATCAATCTAAGAACAGTGTTAGGGGAGTGGAGACGATGCGAGTAAAGACCCTGTATGATTATTCTACTATACTAGTGATTAACCTTAATTTATCAGTTGGCCACTTTAGTTGCCTTAATTCCTTAATGGAAACCCTTTGATGATTTTCCTGTTCACTAATTCCTCAGTGTCCCTGAAAAAAATCAAGCAATAGTTCCGACCATAAAATACGTGATACGGGATATCCTCATTCCTAAGCAATATCGACCGTGATACTATTTTGCAAAAGTGTTAGGTTGACTTTCCAGACTAAAGCCTAAGCACGACTCGAATTCTACTTTTCAATATGAATACGATTAAGATTAATGAAAATAAAATATATCAAGGTAAAAACATAGTTCTCATAGAATAATTAAACAAGAGTCATTACATCGCACTTAGGACCACCCCCTAACAACTTGGGGTTTAGCTGCTCATGTTCTTGGTAAACATAAAAGTAATTAGAATTAAAAAGGAGAAAATCATTACAATGCAAGTTGAAATCCTTGGATCATCAATTGCTTCCGCTTTTGATCGATCCTCTGTTTCCAGCCGAACTCTCCTCTCAGTTGTCAATCCTAATATCAGTTTCAAAAATCTCCCCTACTTTCTAAAATGTGCCTCTTATATCTAAATTCAAATTACATCGCGAAATGTCTCAAATGCCCTTCAACATAGGTCTGACAACAAAAAATCAGAAAACAGAGAAATTTCACTTTCAGTGGCCCTGACACGGGCCGTGTTGTGCAACACGGGTGGCCGTGTCAGGCTGCTGACTTCTTCAGGGCGTGTTCCTCTCCAAGGGCTGCAACACGGGCCGTGTTGCATGACACGGGCACCCGTGTTGCAAGTCTGAGTCTTCTTTTTTCTTCTGCTTTGGTCCACCCGTGTCTGCTAGCCGTGTCCTTCATGACACGGGCCGCGTTGTGCAACACGGGTACCCGTGTTGCAGCTCTGAGTTCCCTTTTTCGCCTTTTCTTTGCCTCCGAATGCGGTGCGATTGTCGTGCTATCCGTTCCTGCCAATAAAACACTAAAAGAAACCAAATCAAACGCACCAGCGGCAAAAGCAACATAAACTTAAACATAAGACTCGAAGACACACAACTATGATTAATGCAGATAATAACAACTAAAGCTTCGAAAAATAGATAAAAACATTGCGAAATTAACCACAAACAGCGTTTGAAAACACAACTGAAATCCACCGATCAGAGACCAAATGTCGGCGGTTTAAAATCAATACAAAAATAAAACAAGTGTAGCAAAGACGAGAATGTTGAAGTGGATGTGTAGTAAGACTCAACATGATAGAAGTAGAAATGAAAACATTAGAGTCTGGAGGTATCCCTATAGTGGAGAAGATAGTAAAAAATAAACTTGTGTTAGATTCTATAGTAAAGAGGATAGAGTAGATGGAGAGAAGACAAACAATTATAGGAAGGAAAAGACCTAGAAAAATTATCAAATAAATTATTAAAAAATATCTCAAAATTAATAATTTGGATAGAAACATGATCCTTGATAGAACATTATGATAAAAGTTAATATATGTAATCAACCCCATTTAGTGGAATAAGACTTAGTTGTTGCTAGTAGAATCCATATTAATTATAACCAGTAAAGAAAATATGTTTTCAAATGATATGATGATCAATGTTATGTTCGGGGCCATTTGATAAGAGATAGAAGCAAATGTAGGTATATATGATTAATATCACTTTTATTGTAAAAGTGAATACACCTGATAAAAGAAGAAATGACCCGAGACACGAGTAAAAAATCTGAACTAGCTCTACAAATGGTTTACAACCCACGGATTGGCCAAGGGAAAAATTGAAAAAGAAAGTGCAGTTCCTGTAATTTTCATCTAATCTTTCTATTATGCTACATGACAGACATCATTGTTTCGCAAACATCCCTTGTGTTAAGGACGAAAAGTCATATTCCTTGGCAGACTTGGAAGTGGTTGACGGAACTGGAGTTGACTGAGGTTTACTCACTCCCATTGTCATCATACCATTGACTGGACCAACTTGTCCCATAGCATAAAAACTGCAACAAATGGACACTTGTTTAATACAAAAGTCAAAATGGAAGGTTTTCCAACAATAAATGCAATTGAGTTGATGTCAAAGGAAGTAACAAAGATAAGACAGATAATAACATAACATATAGATGAATTGAATTGATGCACGAAATTTTCAGGCAGTTTGTAGATTAATGCCCTGTTTATACGATGATCTTCATTAAAAAAAATGTAATATGGTAAATTAATGGGAAGCTGTTCAAACATGTGTGTGTGTGTGGTGTGGGAGCAGCAAAATAATGAAAAATCTAGCTTAACAGAGGATCTATTTTCGACAATCATATTGGTTGGAACAGAAAAATAACCCCAAAAGTAATCTTTTGGAATGACAGTCTACAAGTATCTCCCATTTCGTTTTGGCTTGCAAAACCAAAGATTTAGCACCAATATCAGAGCTCAGGGTTACTCTGAGCTCTGTGGAGCAATAGCAGGTAATATTGCCAAATTACTATAAATTATCCAATCTAATATTAAGTTTAAGTTGCCTTTATGAAGACTAACTAACGACATACCCAGATGATGGATGTTGAACAGAGTTCCCAGCTGGATGTGCTGGAGTTATGTTCCCAGTCTGATCCAGAGAGACAAGAAATAAGTTAGTCACTGGACACACAAAAGTATCATTCATCAATAGAAATTTTTGGCTTGCTTGAGTCATTTACCTGCATATGTTTCTGCAGCTCTCCCTGAGCACCCATGGGCATCACTCCAGATATTGGGAATCCAGTAGATGGCCAATTTTGAACAGAAACATTGGGACTTTGTTGTTGTATGCCAGTAGGATACTTGAGATCGACACCATTAGATTTAGATGCAGCAGCCATTAGAAGAGACTGCTGCTGTGCTAGCATGGCGAGCTGTTGTTGGTGCATTGCAAATGGAGATACAATGTTGCTCTGCAGAATCCAACAAAAATAGAAGAACTTATATATTTAATAATAAGACTAAGCAGACCAAATTTCAAATAGAAAGCAATTCCACAATCTTACCCAAACCTATTGAAGCATTGATTCATACATACCTTCTCAAAGAGGCTCATTATATCATTTTTCACATCTTTCTGTGGTTTCGCTGGAGCTAAACTTGGTGTCACAGAAAATGAATCTTTAAATAGATCCTCAATTCCAGGTGCAGACTGAGAAGTACTCTCAACTGCGTTTGGTGGACCAGTTTTCTCCGCTGTTAACACCTCTGCAGCAGCTGAAACAAAAATAGCAATGAAATTACAACTTTCAAATCTGTTTACTTAAACAAAAAATTTATATTTCATTTTCTTTTTTCAATTTTAAGTTTTAACACAACTTGTTTACTATTTCCAAAGATTTGTATAGGAAACATTAAAAACAGTTTTTCCCTTGATTTCCAATTTTTTCTAAGCAAAATTTTGGAAACAGAAAATATATTTTAAACAAAGTAACCATTTTTTAATTAGAAGTAAAAACAAAAAACATATCATCAAAGTGAACAGGCAGTTCTTCACAACACAATCAATAGAGATCTCTTCAAATCTTCCTAAACAAAATGCCGAGCAACATTTTTAATGTGCTTGTGTAGAAATTTTTTTTTCCTTTTTCCTTTTACTTTTTAAGGACACAAACATACACTGAAAGCCTGCCCAGTTATTATCATCAGCAGTAGCACCAGCTGCTTTGGAGCCATTTTCATTTGCATCATCCATGGACAACATGTTGAAAAGGTCTGTAGCATAGTCTACTTTGGGAGGGGTACTTTGAGCTGTGTCTATAGTCGGCTTTGAAGTTACAGCTTGTTGTTGCAGGGGTACTGGTTTCACTTTTTCGGTGTCTTGAGGTTGGGGAGCAGGGGTTACCTATTTACAAAATGATTATTTCATATAAACGATAATAATCTCAAAATAAGTAGAAAAAGGGAAGAAATTTCTTTGCTACAGAAAAAAATCTATAATACCAATTGCTCATAACAATATAATATGATGTTATTTATCATATCATATGCAAAATTGTTTTATTATAAGAATCGGTGTAATCTCCCCTCCAATTGTACTTCCGTTGCCAAAAAAAGTAGCATTTCATGACATTAACAGGCATTATAAATGGAATACTCATGTTATCAAGGTTTCAAAAACAGAACCAGACAGTAGGCCTGTCAAAAATAGTTAATACAGCATTCATTATTTATGTTAGTACAATGTTTAATCAATCATGTTACTGAATATAAATACTTATACTTAATATTTAACATGTTCAACTTGAATACATTACTTTATACATACTAAAATCACAACAAATATTATTTAATTACTACCGGTTCAACCATTGAACCTTAAACCAGTTTATTCTTCAGTTCAATGTCCAGTCCGGTTTTCAGAACATTCCACATAATGTAACATAAGATGCACATAAGAAGAGGAAAAAATGGTTCAAAATTACCTGCTCAGGTACTTTGCGAGGAGCAGGAACCCTACGTCTTGTAGCAGGAACTGCATTTGATGGCTGGATTTTCTTCCTTTCCTCAAAAGTATTTTCAGGAACAGTGGCATATTCATGTCCACTTTTTTCAGCAGGCCTCTGCCATTGTGAAGGAGATTTATCTTCATGTAGTCCAGAAGGTGTTCTTGAATTCCCATCCCTTGGAACCCATCTCTTCTCTTCATACCTTTAAATATATCCAATAGTTGAAATCATGTGCAAAAAACAAGATGCATGCACTTCAAACAGTACAAGTATGAAAATTTAGCCAGAGTCTTGGGGTTTTTTACTTTGCACGAATGAAATTTTCAATTCCAACTCTGTCGTAGTTTGGAGGTAACTCTGCTTCCCAGTAACTATTTGCTTTATCGTTTCCCATTGCTGAATAAGACCAAAACAAGAAATTCTAAAATAATGAGTTGATTGTATAACAAATAACATGAACCAAATTCAAATTAACTGCAAAAGATCAGGACCATTCAAATTCCCTTACAATGAATGAATGCAACTTGCTCTGGAAGCCAAGTGTCAAGAGTTGCAGAACGAACCTGACAGGAAAGCCATACGTTAATATACAATAAAGAAACGCCTCAAGTAATTGGAACTTTTAGAAAGTCTTTAATCACTATAAAAGCCAACATTTAGGACTTAAGAGCCATACTTCAGTAATTCCCATGTCAAATTAAATCAGTACTAATACTTGATTTCAAATGGAAAAACAACAAAATCGGATTGAAAAACTTTGCCAACAAAAAATTATTTAATTGCCATAAACACTGCCAGAGTCCCAGTAAAAATAATAATAGTCCTACTATAACTTAACAAGTGAAGTCCCCACAGAAGCACAATTTACCTCTAAATATACAACGAGTCAACGACTACATATTTTCTCACAAGGTGGGATTGGCGAATAATATACAAATAAATAAAAAATAAAAAAAAGAGTCAATTTCCTGTTAAACAAGGAAAATGATATTCACTCACAGACCATCTGCTTCTTGATACTAGCAAAAGGGTTTTGAATAAGCATGATATAAAAATTGCAGAGGCTATCCAAATGATTAAGCATAGATTAGAGAATCAACACATTACAATTACGGCAATATATGTGCCGAGCAGTCGAGCACATAAAGATAACCATAATATATATCCACAAACTGCTCAGTAATATGAAGACTATATCCACAAATGACCATATACTATGTCCACAAATCTCCCACACTTCTGATATTTCACAGTATGATGTACATTACATACCAAGGACAAAACGAACATAGCATCACCTTTGATATATGTACTCCCAAACTTCTATGTATTCCTGAACATTGCATGCATATAAAGATGCCAAGATTTACACTGGCCCATCTCGGAGCTCTGCAAAGTAAATTATTATATAAAGTTGAGTGCATACTGTGAATAATAATAATAATAATAATAATAATAATAATAATAATAATAATAATAATAATAATAATAATAATAATAATAATAATAATAATAATAATAATAATAATAATAATAAATCTTGGAAATGAAAAAAATGCAAAGGACATCCACATTTTATGAACCAATTTGAATTTATTTACTTTATTAATTACTGACATGAGATCTGGATAGGACCATTCAGATTCAGATAAATACATACTTAGATTTGCAGTCAGCACATTCCCGATTCTCAGGTAATTTGAGCAGTCCTTCCAGTATCTACATATTTGAAGTAAAAAACAGAAAAATATAAGCCAGAGAGAAAGAGAAGGGAAACAGAAGATGTGACAAGGCCAAGAATTAAACATGTTAAGTAAAGGGTATAATAATAGAAGTTAATATAGTTCATACATTGACAGGAATTAAGGATCTCAAATATCAGTGACTGCAAGGAAAACTTGTTTTCAACCTGTTAAACTAGACCCATCTTCATGTTGGGCAGACCAACTATGAAATATGAATAATCTTTTTAAGATACAAGTCAAGTTTTCCCCTTTTTCACTCAAAATATCAATGAAACAAGGCATTACAATTTAATAAAAAAGCCAAAAGATCCTTGCAATGTTTTATCCTTTCTTGTCATCAATATTTATGACCTAAATCCATCCCTTCAGTCATCACGGATTAAGTCCTCCTTAAAATCCCAAATTTACAACTACTCAAACAAACAACCGAAATACCCCCAGGAAAAAACAGTTTAGAATCTTCTAGTGTTATGAATACAAGCCCAAAGAGTCCATTCGATGAGACTACTCGATAGACAGGAGAACCCCTAAACTTATAAGCCCAGCATATCACGAGAGACTACAACAGAATGTGGAACTCATAACATCTTGAAAAAAGGACATCCAACAAGGAATTATAAATAGCACTGAAAAATGCAACTAGTATTTCTGATTTTCAAACATTGATATAGAAAACACCACCAAAATGAAAACAAAAAGTCTTTCGCAAACTAGATAGACCTAAGTATCTAATTGTGTGTCAGTAGAAAAGTATCCAAACTACAAATTGCAGTATCCTAATTGATTAATCCCAACAAAGTGAAACACTGTAGATCAATCAATCAACCTACCAACTATCAATAAACGAACATCAGCGTTCATGAACAATCAGATTAAAATCACTGAAAAACTACCGAAATGACACATTTCCAAACAATTCCAGTGAAAACAAAAAGTATCAAATACACAAACACACACTACAACAGAATATAAAATAACAAATCAGACGATAACGGATTCAAATCGAACGAGTGAGGATAAAATTCATGCAATTTGCGAAGGCAACAGAAAGAGTATAATTACGAAACCTTCTTGTGCTTGGCGTTAAGCTCTTTGGTAACGTTGGCCTTTCCGTTCATGGTGATTGGTTGAAGAGGAGTAACGAAAACGAATCGGAGAAGTAATTAGCAGAAAGCGAAAGCGAGAGAAAGGAAGAAGAAGAAGATCGAAGGTCAAATTGGTCTTTTTGCGCTCTTTCCCCTCTCCCAATCGAACTAAGCTTTTCGTCTATGGTCGTTAGTGTTATTAAATGTGAACAAAATAGTGTTCGCAAATTCACAACGCACTCCTTGACTCTTTTTATTTATTTTATTTAACATGCTTTTATTTTGTTGTTTTTTTGGCTGGACCACACGCTTATACTATTTTTTAAATAAGGACAATTTTTTTTTATTGAATGAAAGGACAAATTTAAAATTCATTTATTCATACAATAATTCACAATAACAAATGGTGAAAGAATTTAATTGAAATATTCAGACGGAAGTAAATAGATTTTACACTGTCAGTTACGGTTAGTTATTGACTTTAGATGTTAAAAAAATTTGACTTTTATTTTAATTATCTATAAAATAATACGGATAATGGTGATGATTTGTCGGTATAAATTTTTTTATATGCATATTAATTAATCTCATGGTGAAATACTACGAATCAACAAAATGGTGAAATACTAAGATATTCTTACTTCTTTTTACTCAATTATCTAGAGTTTTGTTAGATTTTTTTTCCGAAATAACACATATTTTCAACTAAAATATCAAAATAACTGAGTTTTCAAAAAAATTATCAAAATAACTTACTTTTAACATGCATGCGCCTAGGGCTGGAAATGAGTCGAGTCGAGTCGAACTCACCTCAGCTCGGCTCGACTCGTTAAGAATTGTTCGAATTCGAGTTCGAGTTCGAGTTCGACACGAACTTTTTTTTAAGCTCAAACTCGACTCGTTATAAGTTCACGAACAGTTCGATTCGACTCGTTAGGTTCATCTCATTAGGTTCAGCTCACATGGTTCACGAACTTAAAAACTATTTTTTAAAATATATATATTTTTTAGTATATTTGACATTTTAAATAAATATATATTTTTTAAATAAAATATTAAAATAAAATAAAAGTTATCATATTGATATTTAACTTTATCTTCAAAATCTACTAATTCAAAACCTACACAACTTTCAAGAGATACATTTGAGAGTCTAACTCAAAAACTACTAAATTGAAGATTAAATTTGTCTAAGATTTGAAGTAAATATTTAAACCTAATCTTAAAGACAGTATAATTCTTTTCATATGTAATCGAGTTGACTCATGAACCTAACGAGTCGAACTATGTATAGTTCAAGTTCAGCTCATTTAGTTAACGAACTTAATTTTTCGCTCATACTCAACTCATTTGGTTCATGAACCTAGTTCAACGATTTAATTGTCGAGTCGAATTCCGAACTATCTTCGAGTTGGTTTGGTTCATTGTCAGCCCTACATGCGCCATATGATATGGCGACAGCATTGAAAATGCAAAAGGATTGAACTGATGCGCCATATCATATGGTGACACCATTCAGAACCCCTAGCTGAGGCGCCATATCGTATGGCGATACCATTACAATTGCCCTAATTTTTCAAAGGAGGCGTCATATGATATGGCGCATCAGTTCAATCCTTTTTTTAAAGCGATATTTGATTTGTTTTTTTTTTAATTTCTAATTAAAACCGATTTTTAAAGGGTAGATACGCCATATGATATGGCTACTACACTATTTTATTTTTCTATAAATAAGACTGGACACTCATTTGTTACTCCACAACAATTATCACCAGAATCCTCAACTCTCCACAACAATTATCACCAATATTCTCAACTCAATCTAATAGTATGTCTACATTCTTAAATCAAAGTTCATCGTCATCATCATCATCATCGGAGTAACCGCTTCCAACATTTCCACTTATGAAAAGAAATGCCCTAGTTTATTTTTCAGCAACAAAGCCTCCGATTAAGGTCATACTCCGGAACACGCAGACCTTGGAGCATTTGCATAGGGAACTGAACCGCTGGCTAGAAGGAGATATTGCTGCAGGTGAAAAGATCAGAAAAATTGAGAGGCTAGTTGAGGACTTAGACCCAAATGGAGTTACTCATGCTTGGAGAAAAATGGAAAATGATGTTGGTGTCCTTATGATGATGTTAACACCAAAGAAAATTGTTATAATGGTTATAATATCCTGGATAAGTTGATGCATTGAGTTGTTTTATTTGGGTATGTTGTTGTTATTTAGGTATTAGGTTATGTCGTTGTTAATTGTTGTTGTTGAGATATTAAGTTATGTTTGTTTAAGTTATGTCGTTGTTAATTGTAATCGCTTAGGTATGCTATCAATGGAATGAAATTTGTTGTTGATATAAAGAGATAAGGTTACATTTGAAACTATGATCTTGTGATTGATCCTACATTGAGATATTTTATATGATTGCGTCCTGATTACCGACACGAACTACATAATATGACTATTTTGTTTGATGTATTCATCCCCGTTCGAATACGCGTGTTATTAGGGCGACCCTTTTTCTTTCTTCGTGTCAAATTATTATGCTAGACAATTTCACCTTCGTATGGAGGCCAATAGTCCTCCTTTGCTACCACTTGAAAGCTAGTGTTGTAGACATTGCATAGACTAATGACTTGGTGAACAACAAAAAGATAGTTGGTTGGATCCTGGCGAGCCTTCAAACATGCTACTATAACATGAGAGCAAGGCATACAAAATGCCTGAAACTTTCCACAGTCACACTAACTCATATCTAGTTCCACTCGGTAACATCCCCTAGGTCTCCCTTCATTATGATCAATTGACTCTGCAACACTGAACCAACATTTATTACGGTCAAAGACTGTGACCACATGTGTGTTGGATTTGACAACTTCGTCCTTCATGAATTTCATTGAACTATTACTGAACAACTGCCTAAGTTGTAAGACAGAACCTATTTTGTACGTCTGGTATCAAAAAGTGCCCCGAGCCTATAATATGTTGCCCTTACCAAAGCGGTTATTGATAGGTTTCAGATGCCCTTAAATACAAAACTCATTGATTCAACGAGGTTTGTTGTCATATGGCCCCGTTGCTGGCCATTTTCATATGCCCTTATCCATTTCTATAGTTGAATATTATCAATCCATCTTAATGCATCTGCATTTGTCAGTTTAACCTCGTCACGGTAGTGTTTGAAAGTAGGCTTTGTTAGTGTATACCTTGCATTCACAACCTTCTTCCTTAGCGTTTTGTCCTTGATCTTTTGCATGAAATTTTGAGCAATGCGTCTTATGCAATACACATGGGTTGAGGGAGGATCCTGCCAACCGTTATTAAGATTATTGTATGCACTCTCGATTGATGGGTGTCTATCAAAGATGAAGCATAAGTTAGGTTGGGGAGAAACATATAATCGGAGATTTTTTAGGAAAAAACTCCAACCCCCAACAGTCTCCCTTTCAACTAGAGCGAAGGCGATTGGAAAAATGTTGTTGTTGACATCCTGTGCCACGACCATGAGTAGCGTGCCCTTATATTTCTCGTACAACCATGTTCCATCAATTTGAATAATAGGTTTACAGTACGCAAAACCTTTGATTCATGGTTCAAATGCCCAGAAGAGTCTGTGGAAAATGCCTTTTCCACTGACATAAACCCGGTCTAGCGTATACGTCAGCAATATCTCCAAGATGGCAACAGTCCCTGGAGCATATTTTTTAAGTGTCACAAAGTATTTTGGAAGTTCTTTGTAAGACTCCTCCCAAATTCTGAACATTGTTTCAACCTTCTTAGTCCTAGCTATCCATGCTTTCATGTACGAAGGAGCATAGTTGTATCTTTGAACCATATGCGGGATTATGGTACTCACCTTTAAAGAAGGATTTTTGCTAATGACTGGCAGAATTTTATTGCATGTCAACTGAGAGTTGAGCTTGCGATGATCCTGCATTGGATTCGTAATTATACAAGTGTGCTCTGGACCCATTGACCCTATCTTCCATGAATCACTTATCTTCCGGAAAGAAGATGTTAATCAAAATGGGCACACCTCGTTACAGAAATAGATCTTATACAGAGTCGGATTCGTTCGATCAACTCTATAATCTGCTGATAAGTCCATCTGATATTGTTTTATAGCTCGGCCACAGTCTTCTTTTGTATGAAAATTGTCTCCCTCTTTTAATACTCATTTTGTTTGCAAGTATGGATTGTAAAAAATATCTGTTAATAGTTCATCTTCACCTAAGTTGAGATTTGTCATGTGTTGAGGTGGGCAAACACTATGCTAAAATTGAATTTTGGCAGCACTACATAAACAACGCTTTTTCCCCAAAGCACTATTATAATTTTAAAAAAAACTATGAAAAAAGTGTTGCTAAAGGTTATTTTTAGAAAGCGCCGCTAAAGGCCTTACGTAGGCTGCACTTTAGAAAGCGCTTTTGGAAAGTGCTGCTAAAGGCTACCTTTAGAAAGCGCTTTTGAAAAGTGCTGCTAAAGGTCATTCATAAACTCAACCATAGAAAGAGCTTCTGGAAAGCGTTGCTATAAGCCTATGAAAAAAAGGCAATACTACATCATGGTTAAACGTTAATCGAAACAGAGTTGCATTAGTCGATTCCTTGGGAGAAGTTCGACATGCCTAAAGCACTTGATCTAAAGTTTTGTGCCAATTTATAGGCTTTTCCCCACATGTTTCTTAATTAAACTAATCACTATTTTGTTCGCTGCTTCGACCTGACCATTAGCCTGAGCATAATAGGGCGTAGAAGTTAACAATTTGAAACCCATTTCCTTGGAAAATTCTTGCATCTTTCGACCAGTAAAAACTGATCCTTGATCTATTGTAATGATCTCTGGGATTCCAAATCTATAAATAATATGTTTTTTGATGAATTCGATTACGTCTTCTTGGTTAACATTTGACAAAGGTATAACTTCGATCCATTTTGTAAAATAGTCAGTACCTACCAAAATGTACCTTTGATTTTTTTATGACGTTGGTCGAATTTCTCCAACTAAATCCAAAGCCCAACCCCTAAAGGG